CACCGATCCGCGATCTCTTGCCGGACTGAGCGATACGTCTTTTGTTCGCCGTGGTTAAATGACGCATCGGTCGTTGCCGATGCACAATCGACAGCAGAGAGATCGGCAGCGAGCACAAGCAAGCGCGTCACGGGATCGTATTTCGGAAAACGTCCTTATTTCGCGTATATATACGCGTGTATTCTCCGCACACGTTTGCAATACGTAGAAATATTGTTATTTAAAAGAGAGAGAGAGACAACATCGATGTTTTAAGTAGATCGGAAACAGGTCGTTCACGTTCGATTTTATCAACGAGAAATATGTGAAAACAAAAATGACACATAAGATAAACATTGCTATTTAAAAGCAATCTCTGTATTTTTTTCACGTAGACGAAGAAGAGTCAAACTGTGCGAAGAAAATGACGCCACGCCTCTGTGTGTCTCGCGTGTTCTCGCATCGAGGTAAAAGTTTTCAAAATAAATTCAAACGCCCCGCGAGAGAAAAACGCGCCGAGAGAAGAACTTCGCCGGACGAGCGAATAAGTCAATTAATCGATCGAAATGGACGTTGATACGTGTTGATTCGCTGATCGAGAATGAGAAGAAGCGCCATTTCGGTTTGTATAGCAAACCGCGATTTTCGCAAAACTAGCCACAAATATGGAATAAAAAAAAAAAAAAAAATATATATAAATACGGCCCGACGGCCGTTATCCACAAACGTATTCATTTTATCAAGATTCTGAAAAAAAAAAATGTCACCTACAGCGCGCGCGAGATAAGCGCGTCGCATAAGCGCCGCTGGGAAATTCAAGCGCCGCTCTCCCATTGCGAGAAAAGGTGGAGAGAGAAAGAGAGAAAGAGAGAGAGAAAGAGAAAGCTGAACGCTTTCGATAAGCTTTCCGGTTAGTTCTCAAGTTTTCGATTAGTTTTTCGGTTACGCGACTCGCGATTTCCCGCGGATATAAGCGTTTCGTTGTATCCGCGGGATATAGATTATCGGATATTTACCGCGGCAGAGTCACCATCTCCCCAAAGAGAGAAAGAAGGAAGGGAAAACGCCACACAGCGCGGCGCGGCGCGGGGAAAGAGGGATCAAGGAGGGGGGGGGTGGGATTCCAGGCATCGTCGAGGATGCGATTGAGATTAAACGGAAATGCGAGTCGCGTTTCTACCTGTGTGTGCCCCCCGCGCGATCGCCCCGTCGCGCTTTTATTCCGCGCTCCGCATTGCGACTTGTACGGTTTTGCCCCCGCTAGAGCATCTAAACCGCCCCCCCCTCCCCGTGTGAAATTGAATTTCAATCTCTCGGCCTTCCCCCCGTGCGCGAAAAGAGTTTAAACTGCCACTTTTGTAACAAAAAAAAAGAAAGGGAGAGATGAAGAAAACGCGGGTCAGTCGCGAGACGTCCCTCTCCCCTCCCCCCCCTCGTCTCTCGCCGTGATATGACATTCGCAAAACTTCTCGCCCCAACTTCTTCGCGTTATATATCTGCAAATTATTGTAAACCACTTCTCCGGGACTTCCCGTCCGAATATCTTCGTCGAGTCAGCTCTATCTTTTTCGCAAGCGTGTGTGAGGCTGTGCGAGGCCATCGAGAATTTTCTTCTCGGTGAAAACTCGCCGAGAAATCGCCGCGCGTTCGTCGTGTTCTCTTTAATTTACGGCCACATCCATATAAACATGTCGACAAGTGGGATCTCTCAAATTGAATTGAACCTGTTGGGAGAGAGACCTTTTATTTTTTTTTATTTGTTTTTGGAAAAAAAAACACCGGGGGGACTGCGCGTTACGTATACGGTGAAAAGCGTTAATAAGGCATTGATAAGGTTTGGTTCTTCTAGTAATACACGCAAACTTGAGGGTAGAGGAGGGTTGCCTTTCACAAATTTTCAAGATTTCCGGGTAAAATCGTCGTTTCGGCGTAGACGCGATGTTAACACGCTATTTAAACGCGTGGGGGAAATGAACGCGCGAATGCGAACGAACAACTCGTCGGATTTCGCGTACCTTTGTACGTTAAGTGCATTATAAGTGAGGCATCCCGGGGGGGAAGGATGCTTTCGCAATCGTTCTCCGGGCAATTAAGAACCGGACGGCCGGCCTAAAACGAAAGTTCACGATGGGGGGATACGCTGTGTCAAAGTTACGACCATGGAACGTGGATTACCGTATACTCGCGAAGACGGTAGTTAACCCCGCGCGCGCGCTAGGCACTGATATACTAATTGAATTAGTTATTTCGAAGCAGAAAGTTAAGGGCACGTCTGCGCCAAGTTTTCAACATGAAATAGCCTGGCAGAATCGACGTGCTAGCGCCGCCGAGTTCGAAAGTTCTTATTAACCCGGAAGTTTCGTTCAGTATCGCGCCTGAGTGTTATTTAATTACTAATTCGAAGAATATGTGGCCTCGTGCGCGCGCGTTTTCTCTCTCTCTCTCTCGTTCTTTTATGAGACAAAAAGGGTGGAAAACGGGAACGGGGATAGAAATTTTCCCCGATTAATTTCGATTTCGCGTCTTCCCCCGGAGGCGTCGGCCATCGATTATTAATGACGGATCCCGAAATTTGCGATGTACGGGCTCGTAATTTTCGCGCGATCCCCGCACACACGCCCGTCCGTTTTAATTACCGCGATCGACCCTATCAATTTTTCGTATTTTTTTTTTTGTTTTCTGTATCTTTCTTTTTTTTTGCGCGCGAGAACGCCGGCTTAAATGCGGAAAGAGAGAGAGAAAGAGAGAGGGAGAGGGAGAGGGGGAGAGAGAGGAATAATTATATAATTCCGCGTTTTATCAAGGTCTAATTTGCGCGCGATAACATTCGCGTAACGAATTAGCGGAATTAATAAATTTATTTTATCTATAGGAGAAGCGAAAATCCGCTACTCGACGCTTTTCCAATCTCCGCCCACTTCAGAGACCCTCGCTCTTGTTCTTCTTCTAACGGGCAAACGAGAGAGCGCGCGCGCGGAGCATGCGATTAAAATGTTTTATACATGCAAAGTGCTCTATCCTTTAAACGCAGCAAATTTTAACGATAGCTTCTTTGATGAATAATGAGTTCGATTTTTCTTTCTCCGATGCGCTTTTCTCTCGGAAGCGCATTACGTCGATTAAAAAACGTTGACGGTTGATTAAAATAGAAGTTTAATTTGACAAAAAAAAGTTGTGTGTGTTTTTCGCTTCCGAAACGAGATTGTACTCCGGTTATTTCACGGATATAACATTTCCGCGCGTAAACTTAATCTTTATGTAAAATTTTGAAATTCTACCTTTGTAGTTTCGCGACGAGAGAGAGGGACGGGACGCGCGAGCTTACAGTCGGAGAAGAATCGCTTTTAATGCACTCGACGCGGTGAAAGTGGAGATCCGCATCCTATATATGAAAACCGACAAAGTGAACTCGGAAAGCGGAGGAGGAGAAGGGAGGAGGAGAAGGGAGGAGAGAAGGATAAGCCTCGGCCTCGTATATATAAATTCAACGGGATATTTTGTAACATTCGGGGGGAGCGGGGAGGGGGAGGGGGAGGGGGGAAATACGGATTGTTGTGTATCGCGTACTTACACGGCGGATTGCGCGCCGCCCCGTAGAGGGAGCTAATGGCATGTCGGGACTAGCGTCGGGGTAATTCCACTTGCACGGATTGCACGTAGATTTACAGTAGAAGCCATCGCGAGAGATACCCACCCGGACGGCGAGGAGCGACGGTCTCTCTCTCTCTCGCCAAAACACCGACGTGCTTGTGCGGCGAGATATAAGCCGCTTTATGTTCTCTCCTGTCCCATCTACAGCTGTAACGTTGTCCGCGCGAGGTTACGGCGCGACAACAGAGAAACGCGCGCGCAGATAGCGCAGCAGAGCTCGTGAATTAAAGCGGATATCTTCCGCGACGTTTCCTTATTGATTAAACTCGATTGCGCGCGTATATAACCGTTAATGCAAAACACGTACATAATTGACGCGCCGCCGCGAGTCTTCTCCGCCGCGATAGCGCGTATCCGTCACACACAAACGCGCGCGCGCGCGCACACACACACACGCACACACCGCGTCACGAGATCCTTTCGCTCTCTCTCTCTTCCCCTATTAGCGCACATTTATCTTTTATACAATTTGCAGGCGCGACTCGCTCCCTTGAAGCGACGCGAGCTTTCGCAAATATTTCACAAACGACCTCCCGACCGGTGCGATGAAACGTTAAAACGTATATGTTAAATAATGAAAAAGATCGCGCGAAGGAACACAAGGGGATCGCGGTCGTCGCGACGATAACGGAGATACTCGGGTTTCGTTTTTGAGATAAAAAAGTTCGAACTACCGACGCGCGTGAATTTTGTTAACTAAACGCGTGAAAATTTGTTCTTCGGCGCAGTTTTTTTTTGCGCGAACGAAGTAAGATCGCAGATTTTTTGTGTTCTAGATATCGTGGGATGGATATGGAGAGATTTCGGATTGTATATCTCGTGTATATGTATATATACACACACAACAGATATGCGTGATAGTAAAAATCGTGCAAGGAGCGAAGTAAGTAAGAACGACCACCCCCAAGTTTTCTCGAAGGGTAGGAGAAATACATGAGAGGCTCGCATGCTACAAGTTCCGATGTGTTTTCGTCGACGTGATGCTCGAGCGATCGCGTGCTGATTGGACGGCATTTGTCGGGCTACTGTCGGGACCGCTCCCGCTTGTAAGATCAAGAGTAACGGAATACACTGATTGCAAGGACTTGTAAAGCCCGGGCGCGGGCTCTCTCTTTCAACCCTCCCTCCCTCCCTCCCTCCTCTTCTCTCCGCCGACCTGTCGGCGTTCCCGGGTGTTTGCTGTCTGTTTCGTGAAAGTTATCATCCGCCGAATGAAGTTTGCACTTTTCTGCGCGCACGTAAAGAGATCATCACGATTCCATCGTGGGGGCAAGACGTGGCGGGAGAAAGAAAGTCGCGCGGGGCGGGGGGGGTTGTGTAATTTATGACGAGAGCAATCGATGAAAGGGGGGGTGACTCGGCTGATTCGCGCGACTTAAGCTTTGACGGACTGGTCTAAGATTTTTGTGTCGCTGCCGATAAGGCGCACGACAGAATGTAATTAAGCGGAGAGACCTGAAACAATGTGAAATCTCACATTGTGTAACTTATATCTAACAAGATACGTATTTTTCTATTTTTAGTATAGTTGTTTATTTTGTTTTCTTTCTATAGAGAGTTCGATTTTTTTTTTTTTCGGGTTTGAAAAATGTGGTGAAGGGAGGAGCAGTCCGAACGCATCGTTCGACATCTTGTTTTCGGAATGTCGTAATGTATATAATTCTTTCGTTTATATTTCGAGACATACATATGGAACGGAGATTTTAACATAATCCTTGTACAGATATAATTAGATGTAAGAACATGCGCGCACGTACATAAATAATTATTTATATCTGGATATTCCAAAACATGATATGTGCTCGATATTCTCTTATAAAATTTATGTACAAAAATAGAATAAAATATTTTAATTATATAAACGTTTTCAATACCTCTCACATGTGTGTCTATCTGTAAATCACGTTTCGATATCGCGAATTTTGTAGAACGCGGATATGAGCGAGTTCAGTTGAATAGCGTCGCGACATCCGGAAGCCAGTCTTTTCTCTATATCTGCCATTTTGCACAACAAATCGATAAACTCCGAATCGGGAAAATCAACTGAAAACAAACCCGTAGAAATTACAATCTTGAATGTACGCAGAGAGAGGCGAAAACAAAATACATACTTTTAACTACACACAGGTGAACCTCCGTTAGTATATCTTGCAACGCGAGTCCTTTGTTGAGCTTCAGCTCTTGAATTTCTGAACGTAAAGTTACATTAAGGAAAAATGTATGTAATTAACATACAAAGATGTTTTTTCGAGTTTGAACCGCGTTAGTGTCATTTTTATACCGACGTTTCGTGAACATTACAGCTCAGTGAGTATTAAAAATGACACTAACGCGGTTCAAACCTGAAAAAAACATCTTTGTATGTTAATACTACAAACCGCGAAAGCATCAAATATCAAATGTATGTAATTCTCACATCAGAGTTTAGGCTGTGCCGAACTCTCGTGTATCTCTTACAAAAGGATACTTCTGTAACACGTGTCGTAAGGCTCGTTCAGCAACCAGTTCACAATGTTATTTATGTCACGCGGCAAAGGATGCCCAACACAGTTATACACGTTCTCTTCGTTCACCACGCCGTAAGCAAACCATGTGCTCTGAAGCACGCTTATTACTTTTCTCATATCGCCGCCGCTCAGGGTCATCAATGCTTGCTTTCCGTCCTCCGTAACCTTTAGACTGTACAAAGTCGTCTTCATTATTAGCAACGTAAGATCTCGGAAAAGCTGGAATGGAATCGCGCGATTACATAATTCTTCACTCACTTTTCAGCCTTGATGACATGGTTTAATCTTGGGATTATTTGCTCTGGTTCCAGTGGCATAAATCTGAATCTGGTACAACGAGACTGCAAAGCTGGGATGATCTTGCTGAGGTAGTTACATATAATGCAGAAGCGCACATTGTCCGTGTACTTCTCAATAACTGTCAACAATACATAAAAAAATGCGAAACTTGCAGTCTAAAAGTCCGCGAACATGTGTGAGATCGTCGCTTACTTCTTCTGAGCGCATTCTGAGCATCGATCGTCATGGCATCTGCCTCGTCCAGAATAATCAACTTGAACGCAGATCTGTACATGGTCCCTGTACTGGCAAAGCTTAGGATTTGACCTCGTACAATACCTATGCCTCTGTCGTCAGAGGCATTTAATTCCAACACCTTTAAATAAATAAATATTTAACACACGTGTATAAGAAGAGAAACTGAAAAAATTATATTTGAATAATAAAAGTGCATAAACCATTGAATTAAACTGAGCGGGAGTATAAAGTTTACGAGCACAAGCCAGTATAGTGCTGGTCTTTCCTGTCCCAGGTGGTCCGTACAAGAGAAGATGTGGCAACTGATTCTCATCGATAAACTTGTTTACTGCAATTAGCAATTTTTACTTCATGTGTTAGGTCATAAACAAAAGTTGACAGCAAAACATCTATTTTTGTATGCGCATAGTTTTTTGCTTACTCGTTTTTATTATCATCTCGTGAGAAATGAGTTCATCCAAACTCCTGGGGCGATATTTCTCGACCCTAAAATAAAGTAAATTTCAGACAATGTTTTCTTTTTCAGTGATATTTCATGAACACAGTGCGCGCACTTACCAGGGTAAGTTTGCTAGTTGTTCTTCGGTAGACGTCATTATGTCAACGTGAAATTGTTATTTGGGACAAATCGAACGGTTTTTCCAAAAGTTTTTTACGTGCCTTTAGCCCCGCTATTTTATCACGCGATGTTGGAACTTCAAACTTCGACCGAACACTTTTGAAATGCTTCGAAGGTTATATACTCGCCGGTTCCGCATGGTCAAAGATGGCGGTAACAATTTTGAAACGTTGCGCTGTTATTGGTTGAATCACATTCGCGTGCTCGAGTCACGCGTGTGTTTTCCAAACACGAAGTTGAACATTTTTAACACATTCTGTGTTTACATTTTTCCTTAATCTTTGCTTCAGCAGAAATAATTGAATTTAATTTGCAAAAAGAAATTTATTATCGAGATACTCGCACCTACGTAGGAAGAAAGTAACCGATCGCTTTGTTGCAGTTTTGGTATTTTCGACGAACGAACGTGTGGCGACATTCTAACCACATAAACAACCGGCCTCTCGACACCTTGGTGTTTATTAATAACAAATTCTGTGCGCAACAAAATAATTTATTCCCACGGTAAACTCCTTCGTGGTCGATTGAGCAAACAAGTAATGAGATTACAAAAAAGTGTTAATAAAGGCCTCTAGATTGGCGAGCCAAACAACCTGGTCTAAATGTTTGTTTTGCTTTGAAATTTATGCAGGGAATAAAATCTCTTCGTGTGTGAAAAATTGAAGGCATGGCTTATCGAGTGCTTCGGAAATTTCCCAGAATGACCGTGAGTCGTTCTCAGGAGGTTACGCAGAAGTTCGAGTATCTACTCGTGACGGACTTCGAAGCCACGTGCGACAAACCCGGCCAACTCAGGCCGCAAGAAATCATAGAATTACCGTGCGTGGTGTTGTCCACCCGCGATTGGAACGTGAAGGACACATTTCACTCGTACATTAAACCCAAGATCCATCCTACGCTCACACCGTTTTGCACAGACTTGACCGGAATCATGCAGGAGATGGTGGACGATCAGTCTTACTTTCCAGATGTATTTTCCGAGTTTTGTGAATGGCTGACGAAAGGGAAGTACTTCGACGAGCCTGACAAGAGTTCGTTCGTTACGTGCGGCAACTGGGACTTGAAAATAATGTTACCGAGTCAGTGCGAATTGACCGGCATCACATTGCCGACACAATTCAAACAGTGGATAGACTTGAAGTACACATTTTGCGAATCTACAGGATATTTTCCGTTCGGTTTGAAGGACATGCTTATGCGATTGAATCTTCCGTTTCGAGGACGTTTGCATTCAGGCATCGACGATGCGAAAAACATGGTTTCTGTAATACAAGCTTTGAAAGAAAAGCACAATACTCAATTTCAAATCACTTCGGCACTGACGAGATCCACGATAAACTTAAAGAATTAATACGGTAAAATAAAAAAAAGGGAAATGTATATGTGTTGTGTAAAAACAAAATACACATGATAATTTGTTAAAAATTGATCTTGCGTTAGTAAAATAGTATTTCAAAAAATTCATAGAAATCACGTGTGTAAAACGTATAAACATTCATATTATGTACATATAATTATAAAAATAAATATTTTACTTAAATTACACACATTATTTGATTATCGTTTCTTGACAATAATCTTAATTGGCACGTTAACTTTCTCATTTTCTGTGTAAACTTCGAGTACGGTGTCCATGTTGTGATCAATTCTTTGCGAACATTGAATTTTTAAGGGAAACTTCGTCTTGCTCGGTAACATTCCTGTTGTAGGAAGAACACTGAAGTTGGAATCCAACAGATTGGTTTGAAATGGCTGGGCTGTTTTAAACAAACTGAAAATGTTCACAGTTGCTTCGTTTAATATCGGAGGATTGAGAATAACAGTGGACGGAGTTACAGTAAGGTGTTCTTCGGGATGCTCAACCTCACAGTCTTCCGCAGTTCTATATAATAAAACACAGTTGAGAAGAAATTTTTAAACTACTATTATACATCAGAGATCACCTTTTGTGTGTGATGTATATAAAAACAACTGTTGTGCAATACACATGTAAATAATAAGTAAAAAGATTGTGCTTACGGATTAACAAAAAAACTTGTTCCAGCTTCTTCATCTGTGTCTGTGGTGTCACTTATCAGAGAGTAAAACATCTGTGATTCGTCAGTATCGTAATGAACAGGCAAGGTTTCATCTATACATTTTTCCACAGTGAGCATTACTTCATGCTGATGTACTCCGGTGCAAAGGTCACTCAGATTTTGCTATTTAAACATTTTTGTATTTTTATTATGCGACAAAACAGAACGAGTTATAATTAGCTGTTGTTCCACTTACAACGGAATCACGAATTGACAATAAACCTTGTACTATTTCCTCTCCGGGAAACACTTTGCATATGGGAAGCACAATATTTTTGAATGTTTCTTTTTCATTTCCCATCCAATCACCGGCTTCTTTGCTTTTGTTGACTAATCTGAAAAAAGAAAGAACGTCGATTTGTTTTGTTGATACGATTTTGTTAATTGAGAATCAATTTTGTTGTTGATTCTTTCGCTCTTTTGATGTCATGTTCCAAAATAGCTAGGGATAATCGAAGAGCTTTGATGTCTCAACACACGCTCTAATTTGCATATAAACGTTTTTACCTGCGTATTCGCAAGCGAGTGGGTTCATCGCCATAAGTGATGTGCACCGTTGCAACATGCGACACTTCAGAGCGTTGCAATATCGTGTGGTCTTCTTTCTTAGGATAAAACTCAATCGAAACTCGTCGAGTCTCTTTAGGATGTAGTATCAGTTCTTTTGGCTTAATATTCCAATTGTTATCCATTGTTGGAGAAATAACTGAAATAAACATACACACATTCCACGTAACCGCGCGTGTTCATAACATAATAATTGAAAAAAAAAAAAAAAAAAGAAAAACTGTAACCGAACCTTTCGGTGCAATTTTGATTGTAGCGAATGAATAAAGGTCGCCATTGTTTTGCAGTACAAATGTCGCTTTCAAGATTGTGGTTTCGGAATACAAAGTACCAAGTGACAGCCACATCTTTGCGCTTGAATCTTTAAATGTTCCTGAGATGTTTATCTTACTGTAGCCGCCGTATCCAAACAACTTTATCTGTAAAATTTGTATTAAACAAATTTTAAATTTCTGAGCTTGTTAAAAACACATTAAGATGCACACATGAACATCAAATATGTACTTACTATTTTGTGTTGCTGATTATTACTGTCTTTAATATAATGTCTGATCGTAATTTTTCCAGATATTGGTCCTATATAATATGGACTAAAGGCAACAGCGAGTGTCTTACTCTCTTGGCGTTGCATCGTTACCACCATGCTTGTACTAACTTGTCTGTCTCCGTAAAACTACAATATACACATTTATGTCGGTATAAGTTTTGAAATAGTCGATATAAAGTTTGACCGGCCCAGTGGTCGTTTCGCGCTCTGAGTGCAAAGGCTGCGAGCAGAGAAGTCCCGAGTTCTCAAATCCACATCTTAGGATTTTTCCGGGCCGGTCACTTTCAGCCAAGTTTATTGATTGAAAAAAAGAACTGAATCGGTGATTTCGAAAATTTAAAATTTAATTCTTGTTTCTCAGAGACGCATGTAATTTGGAATTCCAGTTCTTCTGGATTAATACAGATCATGTATTATCTTTAACCCGCTGCCTTTTCACATTTTGTATAAAAACAACTTTTCGCATTTCATATAAAATGTGAAAAGTTGCAAATCTATATCGAGAAGCGTTTTAGTCGATTAAACATTAGTAAACATTAGTAAACTATTTACGAGCTTTTAATATATCAACCGATTTGTCACAAGATTTATTTAATTTGAACGATTCGTCAACAGTACCATCAGTACTAAACATTTTTGACTCGTTCTGCAATAATTGAAATCACCATTGATTAAAACACGTACCTTAAAATTCTTGTTGTCATCACATATGTCTAACTGGATTTTTATCTTGTTATCACTCGTGTTGCGGATTGTGAATTCTTTGATCTCGCATTTTCCTATCTTCACACTCTTCCATACTAAAGCGGCATGAGTCGTTCTGACCGGAATTATATTTCCTGCTACAGCTACGCTAGATACCGTACTGGTCGGCGAATTTCTATGGCAAGTTTTAGATCTTACATAGTATTATAAGTTTCAAACGTATCGTAAGAGGTTTTTTATCATACGCGATGAAATAATCTCACCTGCTGGACGTTACGCTTTGCGGAGATGTTACCGGACTCAAAGACGCGGCATTAATGGGTGTATGGCAACGTAAGAAATTCTCTCTTTCCGATTCTAACGATTGTTGTACGCCAATCACGTCATAATAGTAAACATTGATGCCAGCGACTAATTTAATTTTCGCATGTCTGCAGAGAGAGAGAGAGAGAGAGAGAGAAATATAGTAACAATATAACATAATAATAAACAAAGATTATACAACTTTAACTTTTATAATGCTTTAACTGATCGTCACGCGCACACACACACCTTTCGTTATCTGCCGAGTTTGCATCTGAAATTTGTGGTTTATATACAATTAAGAATGAATCGGTTTCTCCAGCTTTCAAATAAATATTGTCCGGTTTTACAGAAAAATCTTGCGTTGCATTTGTGTGTTCTTCATCACTTGGCACAATAGTAGCAGTCACGTGCGTCGCCACACTTCCCGAATTAATGACATTCAATAATTTGCCTTGATGTTTTGAAACAATTAGAGGTAATTCTGTATCAATAATTTGGATCTCACAAATTCCTATCATTCCATAAAGAGGTATTTCTTTTCTCAGGAGTGTAGTGTCGCTGTCATTACACTGTATGCGTACTACCAGTATGTTTTTCAAATGTTGTAGCTGTTTTTGCAAAAAATCTATTCAACAAAACTCTCATGTATTTTTGTTAAACAAAAATGTGTACAAAGATCGCATACATAGGTGAGAATGAAATTCTTACTTTTCGGTGTAGATTGCAATTTTTCACATTTTACGTAAACAGTACACTGTTTGCGAGCTTTTAATAACAAATCGATCGACTTGTCACGAAACTTTTTCAACAACTTGACCGATTCGTCAACCTTACAATCAATACTGAACATTTCTGGCTCGTCCTGCAATAATTGAAATCACATTGAACAAATTTCGGTAAATGTCTCTTTCACAACAATATGTTTGAATGTTTATAACAATATTATTCTTACATATAAAATAAAAAGATTGACAGGTAAGTCAACGTTATTTTTATTGTGAAGTACTATAGGAAGAATTTTAAACGAATTTTCTGGAATATATTCAAAATTCAATTCATTTTTTAACTCGGGGTTATTACATGTAATATCAAGTTCAAGCTCTTCTGGATTAATACAGATCATGTGTCTTTTAGACCACTGCTGTTTTCCTACCATATCTGACAATTTTATATTGAATGTTAGAAATATCGCTTCGCATAATCTTGTTACTTTCACTTTGATCTGAAAGAATAAGCACAAATAAATCATCGGCAATATAAAATAATTGATTTTTAATTGTTTTAATAAATATACCTTCGACGAATGTTTCTTATTAGGCTTTATTAGAAATTCGTTTGGAGGTGGAATTACTTTAATACATTTTCTTGCTCCTTCCACTTCAATTACTTTTATGACAGTCGTGATCCATTTGCTACTATTGTTTATAAGTTCAACGTTAGCTTCTCTGGTCATGCCGACAATACAATTACATAAATTTTCTGAATTCTTGCCGATAACGACTTCTATATGAAGTAAAAAGAACGATATCACAGATCTTATTTTTTATCGATAAGAACAAGTTACTATATTTAAAAAAAAAATCATTATTATACCGTTTAAATTAACAGACGCTAGTGTTTTTACTGAGGACGACGAACTCATCCTGTCGGAAATATCACTTCCTCTTTTAGTTTCTTTTTTCGCTGTAAGTGGTATCTTCAAATCCTCGTAACTTCCAATAGAATATTTACTCATTTCAGATGCCAAGTAAGATTGATTAACTGGTGACGTGGACTTCCGTACCAACAACTCAAAATCTGTTGACATTGAGGAAGTCGAATGTTTACTACCTGCTGCCTCTTCTAAAAATAACTTCTCCTTGCTTTTCTGGAAAGATTCAGATTCTTCTTTTATAGTTTTATTTGAAACAAATGATACTGGTGAACGCTTCATATCGGTTTTAGTCTTAGAGTCGTTTTTAATTCTACTATCTAGCGATAATTTCTTTGCAATATCTTCTGACAAAGAACTAATATTCTCGTCTATTTTGGTGACATCTTGAGTTGATGTTGCTAACATAGATTTTTTATCCGAAACCAATGTTTCGTTTTTCGACTGCAATGATGGACCTTCTTTCTTTCTTTGTGCCATTAAGATCTCATCGACCAATCGTCGTGGCGTCACGCTATTATCGTTTAAAATATTAACAATGGTGCTTAGACTTATAACACTATTCTTATCGGCGTCTATTGTTACATTTGGAGTTGCATTATTCTGATATTGTTGCTCCTTTATCGATTCTACGAACAATGTTGTTGCTGCAATATTTTCTTTTATAACACAGACGCGAAAAACTTCACAATATAACGTAAAAGATTTTCTTACCATCTGATACAGTTGACTCGACTAAAGGTTGCAAGATGCCTCGTTTCACGGGAGACTTTGCGGCAAACCCGAGACTTGGTCTTATTTTTTCATTCTTTCCCAATCCTCCCACATTATTAGATTTACGTCCAAAGTATTGGCCGACAGATAGTTTTTGTCCAGCACAGGACCTGTGTGTATAAAATATGTGTATAATAATACTGCGTGGTCTAGAAATTAACATAACAAAGACAATAGGAGAATTAATAAAGTATATATAAAACACATACTCTACTGATAAATTATGCTGTCCAAAGATACCAGAAAAGGAACTGAGTTCTAATTGTTGTTTTTCTGTACTTGGTGCTGGCATAACATATGTATGATCTTGCTGCCAACAAGCTTCATCAACCGACAATTTTTCAGCCAGTTTTGAACCAGACAGAAAATTCTCCTCATTAATTTGTGCCATTATGTCATCATTATTCAATTGCGCCATTATTTCTTCCGAGGCGAAACTCGTGGCGTTACACGATTTATTTAAAGGTATCGTAATACTGCTACTGGTAACTTCTGACGAACGAGCTGTTATTTCAGTAGGTTCAAAAATGAGCTAAAAATTCATTTTTTTTCTATGATAATCTGAGCGAGACAAAATTAAATTAATTTTCAAAATAAAATTGTTGCATCACAGTGACACCTACACTATTTATACTGTCTTTATCTGTTAAACGATTGGTATTAAATTTCTGATCTCCTTCTGTTGTGTAACTTTCTCTTGGCTGAACAGAGCCGCGAACAGATCCTTGAAAAGGCAATTTGCCTGTTAAATTCTGTACATTAGGATCGTTCTCTTTATTTGTATCTGAAATAATATAATTCATAATTATTATTTCATTCTACACATAAAATTTGTTCACATTCTTTTGTTATACTTACCTACAGATTTTGAAAAATCTGTTGATATATTGCTGTACCTCTGTAGAAGTTTTCTTGCATTTTCAACTTGCACATCTGTATTTATAAATTTCCAGGTTTGATCATTTTGTATCATACCATCTTCCGCACTAATGCTTGCAAGAGCTATTACAAAAAATATCAAATATTTTTTTATATCTCATAATATAAAAATCGTATACAATAAGTTATAATAACTTTTAACAGTGTAAAAATCATAATACTTGAGCTAATACACACTTGAAATATTACGAAGAATACCTAGAGAAGAATCTGTCTCTTTTTCTGTTCGTTTATTTTCACACGTTACGTTCAGATTGTGTCGTCTCTTCTGACCGGAAATTCTCAATGTGTTTTCTCGTCTGAAACACAACGTGTATATAAAAATGTAATACAAGTAAATGTTCCTTGTGATGTTAGAGAAAAATTATAAATAGAAAAATTATAAACAGTTTGAGATAACATTTTTGAAAATAAATACTTTGCGCAACTCGACCCACGTAGGTCAAAATAATCCGCGCGAAGGACTAATGATAGTTGAGAGATTTCAACTCGGAACAACAATATCGGAGTATTTTTCGGTTCGATTTCTCCGAAGTCTTTAGCCGTTGGAAGTTCCACTTAAAACTTACACCAAAATACATAAAAATACATAAAAATACATCGCAAGAGTAAGAGAGAAAGCAACTCTAAACCGTCAGAATACGTTAGAATGATTGTTTATTCAATGAACAAAAGAGAATTTACGAAAAAGACATAAAAAAAAAAAATAAAAAACAAAACACTCGATCACGTACGTCGGTTTTCTCTGAACGGTCGATGACGCTTGCGGCAGTGGTGTGTTTACAATAGTGGTATTTATTTCGTTTCGATTGTTGCAAGTCTTTGTCTTGATCGGCGTAAACAGATAATCCTTTTTTTCCGCCATACTGACAATATCGGACCGTTAACACATTAAAGAACGACCGCTTCGGTTTGTTCGTTTGTTCACTTTCGAATCTTCACGAAGCCAGCAACAACGCGCATGCGCGAAGTTGATCAGTTTAAGGCCGATCTATATTTGGGTGCGTTCAGACAACTCGACGGTTGAGAGATCATCACTTACGATAGGACTATTCTTCAAAATCTGTTGCGGTTCCAAAAGTACGATCCAATCGGAAGTGATTATCTCTCAACCGTTGTGCAACTGTTGAGTTGTCTGAACGCACCTTTTGATTTAGATGCAGACGTCAAAGATCAGAACGAGCTCGTATTTAAGCCCTGTATCGCATCACGAATCGGAGATTGAACCTGTGACCAATGAGAACGAAGATAATCGCTCTCGTGTTCAACGAACGTCGCGCCGATTGGTTGCGATCTAACTTGGATCGCGGTCCGACGGGGGCGTTGAAAGGCGCCGCGCGTTGTGCGCAGGAGCCGTAAACCAGCGGCCATCTTGCACGCGCTAAGCTTGCGCAGAACTCGCTTGTCGTATTTTACATCTCGCACGCACGGAATTCTCGTTTAAATCACGTTTAAACGACTCGTTTTCGCGCGTAACGCGATTATCACGGTTCGCAAACCCTCGACGCGACGATCTTCCCGATCGGATACAGCCGGAGCGGCGTGAACGACCGAGACCCGTCGTCAAACGCATAAAGGAACAAAAAAAAACAACAGCTGAAAGAGCACGAAAACGTAAAACGGTATTTGCACGTGCGAGTTTACGGAGCGTTGCTCGTCGCCGGGATTCGTGCGGGACGCAACGTTCCGGACAATCGACGCTTTGTTGTCGTTAAAAAATGTTGGATTCGTGAAGCGCGCGCGCGCGAAGAAATAAGGTTATGACGAGATCGCGACGACAACGAACGACGACGACAACAATCACGCCGAAGTCACGCCGTCGCGAGTCGTAAATAAAGGTGGACGCGCATGCGGGCGGCGAATCGAAGCGACAAGGAGAGGGAAAGACGCGGCCCGGCCTGGTGGCGAGGATAGAGAGATGCACGGAACGTCCTGATTGGCCGCGGCGGCTGCTATGGCCGCCGATTGGCGCACGCACGCAACAGTACACCGAAGGCACACGGACGCGCACGTACACTCGCGGCAACGCAGCAGTCGCTCGAGCGACCGAGGAACAGTGAGAAGAGTGACGGAAACGGTCGGTCCGCACGCGTCGTCGTCGTCATCGTCGTCGTCGCCGTCGTCGTCGTCGTTGTTGTCGTTGTTGTCGTCTCGCAAGACGAAAGGATTCGGAGTGCAACATTTTTAAATACAGATGCTTCGAAAAAACGACGCCGATCCTCCTCGGTCGTAGCGAATATTAGGAACTGACGAGGAAAGAAACAAGGATAGAGAGAGAGAGAGAAAGAGAAAGAAAGAGAGAAATATTATATATATATATCTATATATATATATACATATATATATATATATATACACACACAGTGAGAGACGTGAAGGGAGGAGTGCGGGCCGGGCGCGACGCCGACCGTCTCGACATAACCGCGTATACGTAAAACCCGACAATCCGTCAAATTTAAAGCCGCCGCAGGCACACCATTTTCAACTTCGCCCTAATATTGTGTATACCAGATTTTAGAAAACCCGAATAAATTTATAAGAAGCGCGAGTGCAATCGCGAAATTAATAAGTGTACGATACAGGAGGACGAGGATAGAGGAGAGAGAGAGAGATTCCCCGATAGAGAGAGAAAGAGAGAGAGAGAGTAGAAGGTGAGCGTATGTGTCGTGAGAGCGAGAGCGAGTGAGAGACGCACACGGAGGAGAGCGGACGGAGAAGCGGTAAGAGGGAAAGGAAGAAAAACGAAACGCGGGGAGCGAAGTCAAAACTCCGACACGCAGGGACAAAGACCACGGTGGCGGCATAACCTCCAAAGGCGTTTTGTGCCGCGTTTCGGGGGGAACCGCTTATGCGCCGAAGGCAGCAGTGCGTGAAGTCACGAGGTGTATTCGAAACGACGGAAAGATTGAGACGTGAGAAATAAATAGAGAGAGAGAGAGAGAAAACATTTATTTATTTAAGCGTTTTGAAACACGTTTTTTCAAGCGCGAAAATCGAGCTAAGGCGACGGAGAAACGGAGAAAAAGAAAGAGAGAGAGAAAGAATATATTTTTACAGCCTCATGAGCTTCTACATGACAGTTGCAATTGTTCGAAACTAGAAGAGAAGAGAAAGAGCGAGAGAGAGAGAGAGAGAGAGAGAAAGAAAGAGAAAGCACGTGGGAGGTCCTACATATATCTCTCTCACGGACTGGCGTCACTGCGTCAACACATCTCTCCACCAGCCAGTTGCGTTCTGACTACAGGCAGATAGTTAAAAACAATCGTTCGGACAGAAGCACGTGGGTATCTTTTTTTCGCACGGGGACAATAATTATTCCCTCACTTTTGTATACGGCAAAGAGTGCGTAAAGTAAGTAAGTGCGCGAGATTGCGCGAGCAATATATTTATCGGTCGTTTTTTTTTTGTCCGACTACTAAATCGCGACGAAGCGCGAACACACACACACAAACACGTGCAAATCGGCAAATCGTATATATAGATATATATATAATAAATACGGGCGTATACCCGGCTCTCGCCATTGAGAGCGGAAAAACAGTGAGTCCGGTTGATGGATGAGGCTGGCAGGATGCTGCAACACGGAGGATCAGGTGTGGGTCTCATGGGTGGAAACCAGGGTCAAGCGGCCCAGAACACAGCCGGTTACGGAAGCATGGGGCCCGTCGACGGCACGGCGGCCCAGGGTCCCGACCAAGCGGTCGAAGCCAGGAAACAGGACATCGGCGAGATTTTGCAGCAGATCATGAACATCACCGACCAGAGCCTGGACGAGGCGCAAGCAAGGCAAGTTCCGGAATTCTTTTCCCTTCCTCCTTTCCCCAACCCGCTGCGTTCCGCCATTTTTTTTTCTTGTTTCGAACACGCTTTTGTCACACGCCGGACGTATGATTTTTTAACTTTGCCCCGTTGCGTCTCTCTCGATTTTGTCACGCTCGGCCATTTTGATATTTGAAACTTTTGTTGTTTCTATTAAATTCTTTTGTGTGATTTTTTTCACGTTCAGTTGAAAAAAAAGAAAAAAAACTCTTCCAGAATTTTATCTTCAGAATTTGCTTCTTTTGATGACCGATCGCACTCGTCACAGTTGACACGTCGTCGGGGGAGAAATTTAATAAATGTTTATATACGTCTCGTCAATCGTCGAATTGAGGGTTTAACGGTAATTTTCCATCTGCGAGGTCGATTTGTTTTTTTTTTATACGGGCAAGCGCCGCGTGTAAACAAAAAATATTCCCATAAAACTAAACGTGCGTAAAAAGGCAACGTTCGCGCGCTAAAACACGACGACGACGCGCGGCGCTGACTTTAATCCTTACGGGGGTTTACGAACGCGCGTTAAATATTGCACGAATAGATTACGAAGCGGCTTGTCATTTCTTGCCTACGTCACGCGCGCGCGCGCGACAAGTGTTTCATTTTCCCGGTGTTTTCTCCCTCCCGCGCAATCAAACGGATGTACGGCAATCAACGTCACACGTGTGTCGCAAGTCAAATTGAGAAAAGATTGAGAAGATATAACCGCGCGCAATCTTTTTACTTTTATTTTTAGTTAATTAACGCGTGTGCACATCGCGAAATGCAAGTTATTTGTGTAATGACGATGAGTGAGATAACGCGCGCGCGCGCGCGCGCTCTGCACGTAACAAACTCGTGTGTGCTTAGCAAATTGCGCGCGCGTTAATCAACACCAATTTTTATCTAACCGGTAACGTAAACACGTATCTTTGTATAAACACGTCTCTTGGTGTGTTTTTTTTTTTTTTTTTTTTAATTTGACGGAGCCGTGCGAGAATGGGTGCGTTCAGACAATTCAACAGTTGCACAACGGTTGAGAGATAATCACTTCTGATTGGATCATACTTTTGGAACCGCTGCAGATTTTGAAGAATAGTCTTATCGTAAGTGATGATCTCTCAACCGTTGAGTTGTTCTTCTTCTTCTTTGCTGTAACGGCTCTTGCCCCGGTGAGGAAGGAGCATACGCCGGTCTTCGATTTGTTACTATTACTAGTTATGTATTTGTTTAGACCAGAGACTACGATGGTAATAAAGAAAGTGGTGTATAAACACCAAAAATTGTCCAAAAATATTCACAGTAGAATTACGCACATCCAACCAACATGGCTGATGCAACGCGACTTTTTGTGCGTTACTCCATCACTCTATCATTACCGTTGAGTTGTTCTTCTTCTTCTTTGCTGCAATGGCTCTTGCCCCGGTAAGGAAGGAGCATACGCCAGTCTTCGATTTATATTATTACTAGATATGTATTTGTTTAAACTATAGACTACGATAAAATAAAGAAAGTGGTGTAAAAACACCTAAAATTGTCCAAAAATATTCACAGTAGAACTACGCACATCCAACCAACATGGCTGATTCGACTGAATTACCGTTGAGTTGTCTGAACGCACACATAGACGTATAATATATAGACTGCGCGTTTCTCTACCTTTGCCATGTTAAGAAAATGTCTTCAACGTTGAGAGAGAGAGAGAGACAGCTGGTGTTGAATAGTAGCCTCATTTTTGTCTAGCGAAGTAGTGGGGACTAAATGATGGACAAAGAAAGAGTTACTATTCAAAGTATGTTGTCTCTCTCAACGTTGAAGACACCTTTTCAGCCAAACGCGCAGTCTATATATTATACGTCTATGAACGCACCCAATATCGACGAGATATTTATTTCTGGATACGGGATCTATCGATTTCCGCCGAAGAGGTCGGGACGCTACGTTAGCAAATAAACAAACGTCGAAGGCACACACTCGTCGCTCCGATATAGAAGTGCAATTCGCGCCTCTTGCATTCGACTATACGCATACACGCGCGCAACACCGTATAGTATATACACACACACACACACATATTGTTTTGCGTTTAGTTTATGTTAAGTATCTCGTCGCGTGTTTGATGCCCACGCAGAAGGAGCGCCACGCAGACGTTCGCTTTTCACGAACACGTGAATTTTATGCAAAACAGAAGATTCTCTTGTATTTTCGCAACGTATATATATATATATATGTATGTATGTATATATGTTAAGGCGCTAGAAGTACTTAAATACAGCCCCGGGGATTAAGTACATACATCCCGTATTAAGCTAATGTTTTTATTAACACTCGGTCGGTAATTTTGATGGTAATGGGACGTAATCTCGTGTAATTTATGCGCAAAGTAGCGCCGGATTTACGATCCTCCTTTTCGTCGCGTGTTGTTGGCGCTTTTTCTTTTTTTTTTTCTAGCAAAATTCGTGGCAACGCCGCCGCGGCGTGGCCCTTTCTTTCTCGCGAAAATTCTTTATTGCCGCTTCGGTTAAAGAGCCTTGTTCCTTTTTACATAATCTCGCTTAATAAATGCCAAATTAATTCAACCATCTTGTGTTCGCCTTGTGTTTTGCAGGAAACACACTCTGAACTGCCACAGGATGAAGCCCGCCCTGTTCTCCGTTCTCTGCGAAATCAAGGAGAAGACAGGTGAGCGATTTTTTTTCCAAGCTTACAACGGGAGCTAAAGGGGGAGGAGAATATTTGCTCTGTTTTTTTTTTTTTTCTTGTTCCGACACTCGCTTCGGCATGGACCATTAGATTTTACGCGCGTAACGACTCGTTTATTTCGCTTCGCGCTAACGAATAAATGGAATTTTTTAATGAGTCAATTTCGACGCGATAAACCTGCATTTGCAACGTTGTTTTTTGTTTTTTTTTTACATAAAGACTGAAGTTTCATTGGAAAACTTCAATGTCGAAACACAACAAGCAGCGCGTTTGTGTTTGCGCGCGCGCGCGCGCGCGTGCACTTCGCGTGGAGAACGAATGTTGCACAGAAACGTATTATTATTATTTCTGCAGCGTCATTGATTATATCTCCGCTCCGCAAGTGGAGTTTCATTCCGTTTCGATGTGCGCGTTATACCGCGCGGTCATAAATCATCGGTCTTGTTTAAACTACGGCGGCCGCTGACTTTCGGCGACCGGCTGTGCTTTTAGAATTGATTTTTAAATTGCGAATTTTTTTTTTGTAATTCGAAATCGATTAAAAAACCATGGCGCATTGAGTTTCCCGGCGCGTTCAGTTTTTTCGATTAAAAAGAAAAATATATTTCTTAAAAAGAAAATTTCTCTTTATATAATCGCGTTCCAAAAACAACAACAACAAAAAAAAGACAAAACGCGATAATAGACGTGATAAGAGTGTGCTGTAAGTGTGGTGTGTATTCTTAGCACGTTGAAAGTCATCAAGAATTACGAGCTTCGAATGCAATCTGCGAACGAGCGAGGAACGAGCGTAATTTCGCGGATAATATCGTCGACGTACGAAACCGTTGCAGCTCATAAGCGCGATAGGCCGAAATCGAGATATCGCCTGAGATCCCTATCTGCACAGAGAAAGAGAGAGGGAGAGAGAGAAAGAGAGTGAGAGAGAAAACCCGGGTACCCTTCGACTACCCTTGTTGCGCGACCCCTGAGCCCATTCGAAACTCGTAAACATAATTTTTATGCGATGTTTGGATTACTTTTACGCACGGATCAAGAGACCGCGAAACGCGCAATTATTTTGGGGGGAGAATTTGTAATCGTGGACGAAACAGAGGAGAGAAAGAGAGAGAGAGAGAAAAGAGATAAAGAGAGTGGGGAGGTAATGGAAGAGATGGGAATTCCGAGATCGAAGATCGGTGGGAGGTTGCTGGCTACGTCAAAAGTATTCGCTCCCCAGCGCGGGAGTGGAAAGACCACACCACGCCCCTCATGTGCTGAACTTACCCTCTTTCACGTCGCTTCTTCGGACGGAATACGTTTGCGTGCACAGACAGACATTCACACACAGTCTCACTCACACGAAACAGTCGACGAGAGTGTAAGGGGGTATATCTCTGGTTGCCGGAGTTGAAACTGTGACGTCACAGTCACATTCCAAGTTTGTGAAAGTTGTTCGATTGTTTCAACAATGTGTTCAAATGTTACGGGAGGGGTGCTGCAACCGTAACGAAAAAGCGGCAAGAGCGCTTTTCCGATACGATTGCAGCTTTGGTATATTGAAAACACCAAACGCTTCTTGATTTTTCTTTTACATCTTTTTTTTTAGCCATTGTTCTCGCACATCATGGTACGATCGTTTCTACGACTCGCTCTCTCTTTGCGCGGGGAATAACAAAAATCAATATTATATTCCACAAGTTACTAGGTCTCCGTCTCAAATTCGGAGCCGGTAACTTCTCTCAGTGACTCTCCGCGTGACACCGGAGTGTTCGCCATCTGAAAGTCTGGATATCCGAAATCTTCACAAGAAGAAAAAAAAATACGTTTTGTTCAAAGAAAAAAAAACACATTTCGGTTTTTGCAAATAAGTTTTATTGAAAAAAGTAGAGGTTTTTTTTTATTTGCCAATTCGGAGCATGCGCACAATAGCGCGGGGAGTAAAACGATCTTGAATATTTTTGCGATATATATGAAATTCGAGTGACTTAATTTTTCGCGTTCTCGTGATTAATAACCCTTCCCCAGGTTGCGCGCGTTAAAAGAAGCGTTTAGAAACAAAGGGGTGAGGGTAACGCGAGCGTGTGTGCGACCGCAAAAAAGGAACGTGGCGAAGTAAAACAGTCGATGACGGATTGTGTAGATCGCCGGTTCGCGGTCGTTACGCTCGCGTAAAACAGAGACGACGAGATGAGAGGAAGGAAAGAGAGAGAAAGAGAGAGAGAGAGGAAGAGAGAGAGAGAGAGAGAAAAAGAAGGGGTTCGAGTTTATCGTAAACAGAAAGAGCGTCAAAGTATGATGAGCACTCGAGACGATGAATCGTTTTAATGGTCCTCTATCTTTTACGAGTTCCGCCGGGTGTGTGCGCGTGCGCGCGGAAAAATTGTACCGAGAGAGAGAGAGGCTCTCTCTCCTTCTCCCGCGCGCCGCGAGAGGGAAAAAGAGACGCCGCGATAGTCGTAGTCGAGTTTATGGGCGATGGCTGACGAGGCAGTGAAAAAGTACTAAACCAAGAGGAGCAGATAAACGCTATGTTAAGCAGACCATTTTACCAGCCATTTAATATAATCGGCTCTCGCACTCGCTCGCACACGCTTACGCGCGCGCGCGTGTTGTCGCTTTGGTAACTTCAGGATCAGGAACGTATCAAGCGTGTAACGTATCGCTTTTGAAACGGCTGGAATCCGACTTTTTTGTTTTTTTTTTTGCGATGACCTTTGCGTTTAACACGCGGATTTATATTCATCTTTAGGTACCGTTGTCGGTCTTTCTGTGTGCGAAAGAATTTAAATTTCACATGAACCTCGTGGATTTCTATGACGACTGGAATTTTACCGCTCCATGAAAATTATATTGCGACTCTCGATTGTGTGTAAACGTTGTGATCCGCGTTTCCTGCTGTGCAATCGAATTTCCATTATGCAACCTAGAATACGATAAAACAAAAAAAATACAAAAAACAAAAGATCGAGTTATTTCGCATTAGATACGTCGAAACTCTTGTATAAAATAAAAATAATTCGCACGCAATGTGCTTTAGACTCGCGATCGAAAGCGCTCTCGGCTATTTTTTTTCCTGTTCACGTTTCGATTCATCAGCTCGATTGTGAGACGAGAGAATCGTACGCGTTTAGCGGAAACCGAACATAATTCGTGACGAGCGAAACACACGAGAGACACGCAACTTCATGACTCCCCATTTAATTCGCACTAATAGCAGAGTGTGTGTCCCACTTCTTCGGATATCGCGCGTAACAGTGATCGATCGGGCTCGCGGAGTCAGTTATCCGCCGATTACAATTTGTCACGGTCAAATTGGAAGAGGCGCTTTTCTCCCGTGTAGTACATAGTAGGAACGCTGATCTCTTCGAAAACCTGTTTCGGGGCCAGCGGCACCGCTCAGTACGATTTCCCGTGGGACGGTGGCGTAGATCCTGAATACCGTGAGAGAAGAAAGAGAGAGAGAGAGAGAGAGAGGAGAGAACGAAGGAGACAACGCCGGCTCCGAAAAATCCGCGGGATTTCTCGACTCGTCTTTCAACCGGCGCGCGGCCCCAATTCCTTTTTTCGTTTTCTCTCCCTTCGTTTTATACGGGACAAACTCGTCGTTGTGATCATCGTAGAGCAGCTGCATAATCCCTCGTGTGCGATGACGTTTCGTATCAAAGAGACCTCAAGAATGTCACGAGAGTCTCGGCCGAGGTCAAAAAATCTCTCTCTCTCTCTCTCTCTCTCTCTCTCTCTCTCTCTGAAGGAAAAAAACAAACAAACTCGATAAACAACCGTTTCCTGTAATAATTTATCGAGGAGCGCGGGACGCGATCGCCGAACGATAAACCCTCTTCGCGGCGCGAACGCACAAACAACGCGACGAAACAAAATTAATCCGCGAGCCGAGCAAACAGATAATTCAACCGAATAATAATCCGCGACGCTGCCGTTAATCACGGGATCGGCCGATATTGATTTCGCGCCGCTCGACGCCGCACTCCGATTGGCTGACTTACGGGTCGTCATCATTGCGTTTCGTCGATTCGCGCGCGTAATTGAATATGCGCAGGATATTTGTGTCTCTATACACGGTATACAACCCCGGCGTTTTGTTGTACAGCGTATGATAATAGTCGCCGGAATTCTCAATTTTGCAATTTCGAAACAATCGCGTTTACAAAATGCAAATTCTCTGCTTTTTGACCGCTGGCCAATAATAATTGTTTTTTTTTTTTTTTTTTTTTTGGTTTGCGCATCAATAATGCGCATGATTTATCCGTACGATGTTTTTTTGTGTTTTGCGTAGCGTCGCTTGTTTTTTTTCACGTTGTTTGTGATCAGAAAAAGCGTCTCGAAGATTATTCGCGATTCTTCGAACACGTAAACAATAAAAATTGATTTTGCGCAAATGGCGCTCGCACGTAACCTTCATTTTGCGCGCTGCGGTTTCGTGATATGTTAATGTTAATCCAAGAGGCGAAACGAAACTGAGGCCACGAGCGCATTGCGTTTCGCCGCAACCGGCCGACCTTGATTTCGCAGAGCGCATTTCACGCTGAATTCACCCTCACCCTTATCTCCCGTGTAATTAATGATTCCCGTTCGCTTCTATTTGTTACTCGAGTGCGACATTGAACCTTACTCATCGAAAGACGAATAAAATTCCGGCGATTGCTCGACGCGAACAATCGAAAATGCGTCGTCGTCCGGCGCGCGTTTCTCTCGTCGAGATTGTGCAACGCGTCATTAAAACACGAATACGATTATATATAGGATCTCGGGAGAGAGAGATCCGTAATTTTTCTTAACACAAAGTCGCGGATTTTGGCCGGTGTTGCAAAAATTGTAAGATAATACAGATGTTGAAAACGGCGAGAGATAAACAGAGAGTTTGATTGGGAAAAAAAAGGTCATTGTGAGCGTCTTCCGTTATTATAACAATATGTGTAAGAAACGTGGCTTCGGTTTTCGAGAGGTTGACGCCGCTCATTCCAGCTCCAGCTGGAATG